TTCGATGCCAGAGTATCGGACGGCTTACCATGGCCACTTGACACACCCCGCGAAGCTGTGACATCAATCTTTTCTTTCCGGACACTGGTCGCCCTTTCTTACTACTCAAAGACCCTTTCGATGGTCGCGTTCTGGTTTTACGCACATGGGAGTGTGTACTGCCGCCTTTTCGGGTCTTGGAGACCTGTGTCTTGCGGCGCTGCTGCTTGGTCTTGCTCTTCTTGTTGGTGGATCCGGTGTTCTTTCGTACAGTGAGTCTCATTGTTTCACAGGTTGTACTGCCTTTGGTTGCTCAAAATTTTCTGCCAACGTCGTTGATGTTGTCAAAGAAAAGCTCGCGGAAGGTGGATATATCGTCGTCGTATATGATCTATGGTTGATTTCATTCAGAGACGCCCCCATCAAGCAGACCGCAGGACAAAATAGATTGCATAGACGCCACACTCACTGTCACCAGATTGATGAGCGGTGGTGTTGTATCGACATATACCACAGTGTTGATCGATGAACTCCTGTATGAAGCGATGGCGCGGTATTTTGGATACTGGCTGGGAGCTTTCCCGTCGAATCGAAAAACTCACCGTACCACAGCTGCTTTCGCTTGCTATACTGGATCACGAGGGCAACCCAGTGCTCACCTGGCTTGTCTGTCGGGTCGGTGTTGAACACAATCGCATTCTTGCGGGTGGGGTCTGGGTTGAATTTCAGCAACCCAAGCGCAAACCAGTCACATGGCAGTGCCCCCCAATACTTGAAATTTCCCAACTCGGCGTACTGCTTCAATACGTTGTTCTATGTGCATCGTCCAGAGCCAGCTCTTGGGCGGTTGCAGGACGAAAGACGGTCTTTTGCATCTTGCGGAGCATTCGCTTTTCTTCCTGCGCGAGCACAAGTTGCGGATAGAGTTGCAGTGCGCGCCGGAGCCAATATCGTTGATCCTTGTCGGGAAAGGTTTCTTGCAGCTTGGCGATCGCATCGGAGCGCGTTCGAAGCGGTCATGTCCTTCGTTGAAGATTCGTAGAAGCAATTGGAGCTGCTCGTCCGAATAGCAGCTATATTGGTCACCATTGGATGTCGGGCACAGCTCGAGCATATGGCGAAATCTGGCACGATGGTCTCGTCGGCAGTGGTGTCGTGCTCAAACAGAGTGTCTTCGTCGGTCATTGATGCGGTAGACTGGAGAGAGGCTGCGAAAAAAAACGCAGTAAGGACATTTTTCTAGAGCATGGGTATACACTACCCTTCCAGTCTCTGGATTCAGCATGTCGTTCCCCGTGTGTCGCTGGCTTCTGCTTCTCCCCGAAATCGTCCAGGCACATGGTGTCTGCCCTCTGCTCGACCCTGCCTACCAGGGCACCGATACACTCCAGAGATGGCTCGAGTTATCCCAGTATCGCGACGGCTTTGACCGCTATGTGAACCAGACACACCTTCGGTCCATCGAGCGCGACCACAAGAGCTTGCTGACCGTGTTCAACCAAAAGATGGATTCCCTGTTGAGCGAGACCTGTCAATTGTCGATGGAAATGATCGAGGACATGGTCTCCAAGCACAAGCGCGGCAAGCACTATCGAGCAAAGAAAGACGAGCTCATACGCACCTTTGGGGTCGTCCATGAATTCACTGGCCTTGATGTCACCACACTCCTTGGCGTCCGCTCCATCATTGTTCCGTCCTCTGGCATCGAGCCAGACGCGCATATGAAGGAGATGCTTGACGCGTTGCTCGACCAGCAGTATCACATTTTGCAGGAGAGGAACCACGTCATGTCGATACAGAAGGGATGCGAGATAGAGCTCGAAAAACTCGAGGCCGGGGGATTCTGCTTGAATCAGCACCAGGGCCGCTATTTCAAGCGCTGGACACAGCTCTCGCTGACACAGAAACTCGAGCGCATATCCGCCTTCTACCAGGGCAATATCCCTGCGCCACACACCGATCGTTCCTGCCTGGATACGGCCGATATCAAGTGGAACTCCAAGCTCGGTATCATCGAGTCCATCGCCATACCCGAGACAGCGCCCGGGGAAACCACACCGCCTCCGAAGAAGAAGCGCAAGACCACCAAGACCAGGACCGCTGTGGTAGATGCCGCTGCAGCACTCACCGGCACCAATACGATCGTCCTGGGCAACAATGAACTGGCCATGCAGAAGAAGGCAGAAATCCGCAATGTCAACGAGATCCTACTGTGGTGCATTCTCCAGGGTCTGGGCATCGACAAGGCCGCTCCAAAGGTCGAACCAGAGTTCCGTGCCTATGCCCAGAAGGTCTACACAAAGATGCGCAACGCCATCATCAATCGAAACATCCAGGACGAGTGAATGAGTGTGTGGGATCAAGCACCGACTGCGATTGCGTCTGTTTGTTTTTTTCTACACCCATTGGTATCAATACACCTCATGTCCCTCACTCCACCCAATCGCATCAACATTGACTCTTCGTTGCGCTACGGGTCCTTCCTTCCCGACCGCAAATGGTGCAGCCCGCTTCTCGACAACAATACCATGCCCGAGCACATGCATGTCCCCGATGCCCGAGTGACCCAAATCATTCCCGAGGCACTCTGGCTGCACAATTCGTGCGATCGTGTCACGCAGGTGCCAATCATTGCCGGGAACCCTCAGGCATCCGTATCCCGCAGCCCTGGCATCTCCACCTCGCTCATGTCCTCGGACACTCGGGTCTACAGCTCATCTAAATACAATCCAGACACCAGCGGTGGCTATGGTTACATGGGTGCGAACACTCTTCCCTTTGGCACAAACCGCGTCGGCTCTGGCCCTGGCTCTGGAGCACCTGGATCCAGTTCGGGTTCGGGTTCGGGTGCACCCAGCGGTGGCTATGTCTCTCTGGATTACAGCAATGTATCATATGCGCCAAAGAAGCAGCTCCCGGATGCATCCACCGTCTTCAAAAACACACAGTGGTGGTCTAATACCCCTTATGCGGCCGGTGCACCCAGTGCCAGCGGCAGTGTTTTTGATCCTTCCAAGGCACCCATCGTCCTCAATGATCCCACCAAACCATTCCCCACCGTCCCACTGACATACACAATCGCACCGTCAACGCTGGATTCAGACGGTAATGCTATATTCGACAAGAGCAGCTTGTGCTGAATGCTGTTTTTGTGCACACAAACAAACTCAACTCCATTCCTTCGTGCCCCAGGCGCTGGGTGATGTGCGATTCGAACCCAGCGTACCCAGGAATCAGGGTGACTCGCAGATATGCGAGCTCCCTCATGCCTGCCAGGTGCGAAAAATCAACGACATGATTTCCTCCAAGATCGAGGCGCTTGAGTTCCTTGCATTCACCCAGACTCGCAGGAATGTGGGTGATACTGTTGGCAAAGAGATTCAACTCGACCAGATGGGGTAGACTGGTGGACAGGTTGCTTGGAATCTTGGTGATTTGGTTGTGTGAGAGGTCGAGCACTTGCAGATTCACAGGAAGCAGACAGGCTTGCAGGACTCGGATGGCATTGTGGCTCAGGTCGAGCTCAGTGATGGTCTCGAACTCGTCTGACGACATGTCTGGGGTGGATGTGAATCGCAACTTGCTCAGGTTGAAAGTCCTGAGCGTGAAAATGCTCCCAGTGAGTGGGGTTTCGATTGCGTCGTCTCCTGGCAGGGAAGTCATGGCGAGATCTCTGGCACTCAGGGCTCCCCAATCAGCACCCGGAATTTATGATGGCGCTGGGCAGCGTCCAGCATGGCAAGCATCACGTCCTCGTTCGCTCGCTGCTCCTCATTGGTGTCGTATCGTTTCGCACAGTACGACTTGACCGCGAATCGCAAGGCACCCTTTAGCATGGCTGCCAGACTCGTGCGCGCCTGGTGATCCATCGCTTGAACGTGGCAAGCCAGGCGGGCAGCATAGTCATCTCCGAGCCCCTGGATTCCCGGCGAGGAGAGAAACGACGATGCGCGATGCTGAAAGTCTGCCACATGGGGGATGAGCATACCCTCCATGGTCAGCTGGAAGCTGTTCAGCAAGATGGTGTTGATGTAGCTATCCTGCTCATATTTCTCAATGACGCTTTCGCTGGCAAATGTGCTCAGGCACTTGTGCATCATGCGCTTGGCGAACAGCGTCTCGCACATGCGGAAATGGCGAAGCGTCTCCAGCAGCACACACTTTTTGAGCCACAGGGGGTCCGCGAATCGCGCGAGATGGCGATTGACCTCGGGATCCAAGAGGCCGCTCTTCTCGAGGCGCTTCGTGAGTCCACAGCCGAGTCTCGTGGCTGGCTGACTGAGGTCGTCGCAGATGGCTGGGATGTCCAGCACAAACATCCAAGCAAAGATGCGCTCCTGCACCTCCTGGGGAAGTGCCCAGAAAAGCTTGTGGAAGGGGATAGACTGTGTTGTATTGCGGGACATGCTGCTCTTGTTTGGAGGACAAAAAATGTGTGCTCAAGAGGAGCTGGGGACAGGGGCTGGCGCTGGCACGGCCGCAGTGGCAGACGGATCCACGACCGCCGGCTGTGGTGCGACAGCACTGGGCTGGGCAGCGGCGACGGCGGCCGCGGGGGTCGGACTGGCAGTGGGCGGTTTCACCCGGACTGCGCTGGCTCCGGCGGCCGATGCACCACAGAACGTGGTCTTGTTGGTGTAGAAGAGATACCCGAGCCCGCCACCAGTCAAGAGGATAAAGATGATCGCAGTGATGAGGATGATCGTGATGGTTTCCATTGCTTGTGTGTGTTGTTCTGTCCATTGGAAAGGAGAAAAAAATCACCATCCTGGCGGAATGAACCCTGGCAGGGCCGCTGCCTCGATCATGTGGGCAGCATGGGAGGCATCCACAAGCGCCCCGGGCATGTTGGCGTTCGGATCCCCATGCACCCTGCTGCGGAGATATTGCACCCACTCCCATTCGTCCTGCGGCTGGGAAGGAGGCAAAAAACCACCCGACCGCTGCACGGCGGAGGCGAGGCTCTTGAAGGGATCGTCCGTCATGTCCTTGACATGCAGCGGAATCGCGCTGAATGGCAGCGGTCCATGGCCTTCGGAGTCGAAGGGAAACACCCAGCGACGGCTGTACATCTTCTCCCAAAAGGCATCCTGTGTTGCTACTGTGCTGTAGTCTTCCAACACCACACAATGTGCCGCTTGGAGCCTGGTCTCATAGAGCGCACGCACAAGTGCATGGCCATCGACAATATAGGGTATTTTGCCAGGGCCAATGACGACACTGACCCGTTTGGCATTGAGGTAGTTGTAAAGCCTGTCCGCTTTCACAATCAGTGAGCGGATGGTCAGGCGCTTCAGTTCAACATCCTTGAACCCCACCGTGATCTGCGTGGGGCGGAGTCCGTCGATGGGTAGAGTGAGCAGTCGCTGTACAGGGGAGTTGCTCATGGTCGGCGTGTCCTACAAGAGGCCCAGATCATTTTTTCCATCCTGGCCGCGCAGCCCTGCTCTTTCGCTTTCATCTCTCCTGTGCCCTTCAACCAACCATGACCACCGCTGCAACACTCGAACGCTTCCATATCGACTCGATCATTCGTCTCCTCGCACCTGCGATCCTCGACAAGTCCCTCGATGACCTCGCCCGTGAGTCCTTTCGCTTGGCAGGCCAGCACGAAGCCAGGGGTGAAGCCTTCGAAGTCCTCTACCAATGCTGCATCATCGCATGCATCCGGGCCGTCCAGGAGGACATCGTCGGCATGGGCAAGTGGATCAACAAGCTTCAGAAGAACCACATCGTCTTTGAGGACAATCTGGTGGCTCGCCATGTCTTGGCGCTGTGCGAGTTCCTCGTCGATCACTCTCCAGCACAGATTCGATGCAAGGCACTCGAAACACACACGCTGGATTTGCCCGACAGCGATACCGAGACGGTCACGACAGCAGCTGCAAAGTTCTACATCGATGAAGACGACGATCTTGTCGACTACAGCGACGACGACGAACCCGGCAACGACAGACCCGAGGAGCAACCTAGCGACGAATCGAGCCTGTATATTGCGCAGTACATGGCATCCAGGGGCGAGGAGTGTCTCAGATCCAAGCAATACGTTGAGGCACAGGAGATGATTCTCAACGCCCTTGAAATCATCTATGGTCTCGGAAGCATCCCTACCGATCTCGAGGACTCTCTCCATCACACATTGTTCAGTGTGAGATCCAGGCTCCATGATCTCGGCGATATGAGAACCATCCTCTCGCGCAGCGAATCCCATTGAAATCATTTGTTGCACTATTTGTAGTTACCCCGTCCGCATTCTTCGCTACCATGTTTGATTTTTTCGCGAAATTCCTTAATAAACCACTCAACCAAGACTCCGCACCAGGTCCATCTACTAACTTAGAGTCGGTTCCAGAGTCAAAGGCACAGCTCGATCCTGACAAGACCGACGCTGATATCGAGTCTTGTGATGGCTCCGAGCTCACCGACGAGGGTGATGTGAATGAAATGACATTTGCCGAGGAGATGGAGATCCTGGCAGAGTGCATCAACCAGGCAGCGACCGACACTATCCACTCGGTGCCCTGCATGGATGCCATCGCCTTTGTCACAGAGCTGGACATGTCCAATATTCGCGATCTGGATATCCTGCACAGCATGCCCCGCGAGTTTCATGTGCTCGTGACCCTCGATCTATCGGGAACCAGTATCTCAACCATGGATGGCTTCCCCACAAGCGTACCCGTCCTCGAGCATCTGATCATGCGCGATTGCTTATCGCTGCGTACACTAGATGGCCTGCCTCACTCACTCCCCGAGCTGAAGACTCTGGATCTGTCAGCATGCAGAAGTCTCGAGTCGCTCGCTGGTCTGCCAAAGGATCTGCCTCTGCTCGAATGCATTACTCTGAACAACTGCACGTCGCTACAGTCCCTCCTATTCTTCCCTCGCTGCCCAGCCCTCGAGCGTCTTTCGCTTGCACACACTGCTATCCGCGACTTTGTCGGTCTCCCACACACCCTGTCTCAGCTGAACCAGCTCGACATCACCGGATGCACACGTCTCTGGTCTATCGATGGAATAGAAAAGTCGTTCGAGGGACATATCGTCACTGTCACGAGCGAGGGTGTGCACGAGGATGTACAAGCAGCAATCCAGAGACTTTATTGCAAGCCGGTTCTCGCTCTGGACTCTGAAAGTGAGTCCAGCGAACCACAAAATGAACAGGAAAACTGGAACGATTCGTCGTCTTCGTCGGCACCATCATCGGAAGAATTGGATGATAACGGCCATAATGACGAAGTCGAAAAAGAGCACAAACGGATGGCTTCGAAGCACAGAAACAAAGGAAAGATTGCATCGGGTTTGGAATGCTGGGGTGACATGGAGTGAGCAGTCATATCATGGGGATTGAATGAGGGCGAGGTACTTGTCCTTTTCACTTGGGTTGGTGGCAATGGCACATTGAAGCCATTGCGTGTGAAGGCTCTGCGACTGTGCAGTACCATGTCCTCGCAGGTAGCAGAGGCTGAGGTAGCATTGCGCCGCTGGGTGTCCAGCATGTGCAGCCATTCTCAGATACTTGATGGCCTTGAAGTAGTCTCGGATTCGCGATTGCGTGTAGTAGATCTGCCCAAGAAAGGCCATGGAGTCAATATGACCCTGATCTGCTGCTTTGATCAGCATTTCGATAGAGTAGGCTCGATCCTTGTCGGTATTCGCTGTCGTGTAGGCAGAGCCAAATCGCCACTGAGCCTCGACACTCCCGAATTCAGCAGCTCTGTGGTAGAACTGGCTTGCGTTGGCGTGGCTCCTCGCCACATATTGACCTCGTTCGAAATGTAGAGCCAGACGCATCGTCGCAATGATCGACCCGGATACAGAGGCGCTTTGCAGCAGCCTCATGCCTTCGTCGAGCAAAGCAACATCCCTCGTTGGGTTTGAAAGTAGACACGCTCCAAGACAGAATTCTGCCATTTTCGATCCCATAGCGATGGCTTGGCGATAGAAGTTGATGGCTTGCTCTTCGTTTTTCTGAGTGAACGCGCCAATTTCGAAACACGCACCAACACAACACATCCCAGCACTGGTTTGGTTGCGCTTCAGTGAGACCCAGAGAGATTGGGCCTGTCGCTTCGATGGTGCTGTTCCAAATCCTTCGTTGTAGCAGTGCGCTGTGATGAATTTGCAAAGGACGTCGTCGTCTGACGCGAGGTTCATGCACTCAAAGTACATCCTTGAAAACTTGTGATGGTTTTCAAGGATCCCATCGTGTTTGTCGACAGGGACACACTGGCCAATGGTCTCGGGGCAGCATTCAGCAGTCTTGCCCCAGCGGATCAAAAAGGATATCCATTTTCTGGTACTGGGACTGAGCTCCTGCGTCCTCCAGGGCGAGTTGATGGGTGGAGTGAGTAGCCCAACCCACGTCGTGAAGGCAAGGGGTCGATCTTGTTTGTTTCCGATACCAACATATCGGATCCAGCCAAGCAAAAACGTTGCCCTGAACGACCCCGTGGAGACAAGCTTGAGGACATCGTCGACTGTGCGATCCCACTCATGGTCATCAAGAGGAATTTGCTTGAAGTTCTCCATGATGAACTCCATACACTCGTCGAGTATGGAGTCTGGTGTGTCGGGCTCGGACGGAACGCTATCCGATGAAGCCGGGGAAGGAGATCGTTCTTTTTCTGGCACGGGTGGCTCCGCTTTGATGCAAGCTTCGCTGAGCGAGGGAGGAGCAACCGGTGCGTCGAGGACGGGGGTCAGTTCACCGTCTTCGCGCTCGTTGTTTGCCGGGGTCGTGGGTTCAGCAGTCGCATCTGGTCCTTCATAAGGGGCGATATCCAAATCTTCAGTCACGTCGCTCTGGTTGTCGTCTTCGGGGTCATCGATGAGCTTCTCGGACATGCCCGGTTCCTCGGACACGTCGGGTTCCTCAGACTTCTCAGCCGGTATGCTAGGACCCGGGGGATCGACGTCATTGACGGCCGAGTCCGTGGGGGGCGGAACAGGCTCGGTTTCACCTTCCTCGTCGGCGGTGGAATGCTTTGCACCTCTTCGCATCGGGCTCACTTGCTTCCTCTGGCTGCTCTTTGCGCTTCTCAGTGACGATGCGAGCAATGTCGATGGTGCGATCGATGGTTTGATCACACGCAAGACACATCTCCAGACCAGTGTCGTTCAAGGGGACGAGATCGGGACCACCAGGGCGGCGGTGCTGGGCAAAGATCGTCCATTGTTCCTCTTGATTGTGGCAAAATTCTTTGATCTGGCCATAGACGTCAGCGGAATCGAAGGGTCGCTCGAATGCGATCGTGTGGGTGATCGTATCGTACAGGGCAGAGAGAGCGTCCCCGATTTGCATGGACTCGAGATCATCGGCATCATGCTTGCTCAGCACAGTGAGTAGGTAAGCAGTCCTGCTGACCATGAATTCCCAACCACGGTGGTTGATATACATGTCCTTCAGCACATGGAAGAGATCGATGGCAGACTTGAAGGCGCTCTGCAATGGGTGATCGACGGGGGCTTGCCCAGATAGGCGGGCAATGACGTCGGCGGCACGGGCAATCTTGGCAATGGACATTTTGGAACAGGGGTGTGGATGGCAGGGGCAGCGAGACGGTCAATATAAGCGACCCGCTCGATGGCGGAGGGAGCGGAACATGACGGGGTTGGGCGGCGATTTCGTCAGACAGGGTGTCTCCCAGACTGGCCTGGCAGACAGGGTGTACTGGTGCAAGCAAGGAGGAAGGAGCTGCCACTGTATTCACGAGTCAACCACCCCCTACACACCACCATCGTTTCCAGCTGGGAGTTCCAAGTCATGCAGCAACCCAGACACATCATGACGCACACCCATATGAGTTTTGATCCAGCTGATCGATTTCATGGCGACCTGGTCCGCTGGCTTGAGTGCCCAACTGCACCAGATATTATCGGATATCTTCAGCGACTTGAGGAACTGGGCATCCTGCGTCTCGAACCAGTACCTGGCGCTGTAGACATCACGCTCGACTCCATAGCCGCCAAGATATGCAAAGGCAATGCAGACCGCAGCGGGGCTTCGGGTCTTGTTCGTTGATCGATCGTAGGATTGGACCAGGCAACTGACTGCATGCTGCTGGTCTTGCGTGCTTCCATTCATTTCTGCGATAGCCATACTCACACCCTTGAGGAAGTAGGCTTCCCTCAAGGAGGAGCCGGTGGCGATCGCTGAACTTGCTCTGGCGTTGGAGAGCCCGCACACAGTAGTCAAAGTATTGCATGGCCTTGCGACAGCCACCGATGACACCATCTTTAAATTCGATCATGAGATCGTGGTTCATCGTTTGGATATTGTGGTATATGGCATAGAGCCCAGCCATGAACATGGCCTCGATCGGATGAGCCGCCATTTCATCCGAGCTGACGATCGCTTCAAACTCGTTGCCGATGACGTACTGCAGGTCTTGAAGAGGGTTCGTGTAGAGGTGGGTACTGAGGTCGGTGAACAGATAGGCATTCTCTCGGCAATACTGGAGCGGGCTGGTACTCCAGTCTCCCAGCCAACCAACCACAAAGGGGATGTATGCCTCGTCCTCCATATCCAGAAAGACCTGGCGGAAGAAGGCAATACTGATATCCCTCCAGGTGTCAGCAGAAAGTCCAGGAAACGACATCCAGCCCTGGGTTCGGGGTCCTCGGTCCTCGATCTTCTCAAATGGCTCGCACAGATCGACAATTCCGTAGACACGGAGGATCAGCAGATAGAAGCGGAGGGTGTCGTAGTACCACACATTTGGGGAATGCCCCTCGGTGCGACAGATGTACCAGTCGTGCTCGGGTCCAGGCACCGGGTTCAAATCGTAGAAGAGACTCAGTGTATAGCGAGCCAGGTTGACGATCGATGTTCGGTTTGTGAAGTGGTATTTGGCAAGCTGGCAAGCGACTGCGGGGATAAGCGCATATTCCTGGAGTATCCCGTCAGGCACGATTTCATGTTGAATAGTCATATCTGGGTCGGCCAGTAGTTGGCGGAAGAAGAGGTCGAGCTCTTTGGGAATGGCACTCTGATCGTACTCGGCTTGATACTTGATCAGCTCGTACTTGCAGAAGGCGCTTCCGAAATGCGCACCCTTCTTGAATGAAGCGATGGCGAGCCGTGAGTCTCGGCCATAACCACCTTCCCCATACTTGTATCGACGACCCTCGAAGTATGCAACGCTGCGCTGGAGAGCATGGAGCTTGTCAACATCGCGAGCATGCGAATACTCGGCAAAGAGGTGTCGGTAGATACGAAAGACCCGAGTAGTCACGGCGCTGAATACATCGTGCTTGGGGTAGATCCACTTGGTAGGGAACCACTGCTCGAGGGGTACACAGGACGAGCGACCCTTCTTGGTTCGATAACGGCTGTATCGCGAGTAGTAACGTTTGTAGTAGTTGATCCGGGCGCTGATCAGAGCAGCTCGAGTGGCACAATGGGGGTAGTCATCTCGCTCGAGGCGATCGTAGTCCCCTGTCCAGTCCGGTTTGAACGTTTCTTCTTGATCGTCTTCGTTGCCAGTATCATCGGCGGAATCCAAGAGATCACCGGGATGCTCGATTGCACTGATCATCTTGATGCTGCCAACGATCAGCTCGCGGCGCTGGGGAGCACCGCATTTGAACATGAATCCAGAGCGCAGAAGAGCATCTACAGTGAACTGATCACTGGAGACGTAGGCGAGGATCAGACACTGAATCTCGGCGGGTAGTTGAGGCCAGTACAGGGAGATAAAGTCGTCTTGAGGCATGTTCGATCGATTGCAGAGAGAGGCGATGCTTCACGGCGGCAGGAAATCGGGCTGGTTTTGAGGACGATGCGAAGCCAGCATCGGGAACTGGACGTGAGCGGTGTGTCGGAAGAATGGGGGGGTCATCTGGCAGGGCGGAGATTGTGTCAGCCGGGTCATGGGGGGGCGGGGAGACAGCTTACTCAGAGAAGATTGAGAATCGAGAAGCACTCCGCTTGACCGGGCGGGGAGAATCGTCGATGTCGTCAGCAGCGCGCTTGCTTCGACCCACAAACTCGATGAAATCCCCAGTCTGCTGGTGTCGCTTGCTGGGTCGCTGGAGATTGTCGTACTCGTCCCTGCCTCGCTTACGCTGGTTGACATATCCAGCAAATTCACCAGTTCGGCGGGGTCGCTTGGAGATAGGTGGCTCCTCAAAACCGGGTCGCTTCCTCGGGCCTGGGATGTCATCGAATTCCCAAGGCATATGGCGTTCGCTGCTCGTACTGGCCTTCTTGATGGGATAATACATGGCCATTGTGGTATCTTCTTCGACCACTGGATACCCCCGGTCCATCCACTGCTCTGACTCGTCGTTGGTCTCTGGCTGAGGTTCGCTGTTCCTGGACCGCTTGAACCCGGGCTGTTCCACGATCGACGAAGATCGCTTTCGCAGAGTGGGGAGAGGAGCGACTTCCCATTTCATTGGTTCATCATAGCTGGTACTGAAGCTACTGTCGCCGCTGGAAGAGTCCATGCCAATATCGACACTGTCGTTGATGTCGTCGCTGGACGTGGTTGTGGTGGCGGGGTCGTTGCTATATCGCCTGTGGAAACTCATCGTTGCTGGTGGATGCACACAGAAAAAATCAAATGTGTGGGACCAAGGGCACTGGCTACTGCATGGACTGAGGGGTATATTGAACAAAAACTGCATTCAAGTGTCGTCGTCACTGCTACTACCAGCTGAAATACCATCGAACAATGCCAACAAATCAGCATCACCGTCGTTCTGGACTGCTTGGGTGAGGGGCTTGAAGACACCACGCTGAGTAGCCATGGCCTTGCATTCGAGCCGCTTTTTTTGTGCAGCGGATGCCTTGAGCCTCTTGTGGAGACTTTCGAGCATCTTGACGATGTCCTTGATGGCGAGGCGCTTTTGGGGCTCATGTTGGAGGCATTTGGTCAACATGGCCCCGAGGGAGGGCGGGGCGTCTCGATGGATGGTAGCAGTCCTACCTTGAGCGAAAAAATTGCGACGCTCTTCATAGACATCTTTACCAGGGGACTCTTCGCCCCAGACATTACACATGTCTGCGAGGATTTCACAGGCGCAGACAGCAAAGGCAAAGACGTCTGTGCTTCTGTTGGGCTGGACAGGATGATTGGCGTGAACTTGCTCGGGGGCCATGTAGTAGGCAGTGCCGTATCGACCATGCACGGCTGGAAGCGGGAATCCTTTGGCGCTGCTCACATTTGGGGGGAAGCTGAGCGAAGAGGCGAAGTCACAGAGGTGGAGGTGGAGGCGAGAGTCGACCAGGATATGGTCGGGTTTCAAGTCACCATGGACGACTCGCTTTTCGTGGAGATAGCGCAGGCCAGTGGCTATCTCCTTCATCCAGAGAACTTTGGTTTCCATGGAGACTGGGGGGTTCTTTCGGATGTAGGTAGTGAGGTTGCCTTTTGGTTGGAAGGGACTCAGGGCAACCCAGAACCCGTCGTCGAGACGGGAGATGCCGAGAAGGGGGAGGATGTTGAAGTGGTGGAGGCTGGACCAAGTACCAACGTCCCAGAGGAAGTGGAGTGGATATTCTCCAGAATCCTCATCAGGAAGGCGGCGATATTTCTTGACGACGACAATCTTACGATCGAAGAAAGCCAAGCGAACCTGAATGTTGTCCCTCATCATGAGGAAGTTCTGAAGTGGTTCGACGGACACGATATCACTTGGGTCGACGACTCGACAACCACGAGCGACGATATCGTCAAAGGTAGACGCTTCACAAGCCATTTATGAGCGGTGGCGAAGGGATGGAACGACGGGGAGATGACGGGGAAAGCGGGCGCTCTCGGTGGCTGCTTGGCTTGGGGGGCAGGCGAGAACGACCACCTCGGACAGAGGAAAGCGTTTCATGGCACATGGTCACGTGGTGACCACCGCTCGAATCCGGAGCAGCTCGGGCATTCCCGGGTGGGTGAGTGGATGGGTGGATGGTGATTCCCTCTTGGTTTGGGTTGCTCCTTCGTTCTGCTCTTCACCAGTCCCAGCCATGCTGACCACCACCAAGGTCTATGGCACCCGCGAACATCCCGATGTTGCCTCGACACTCAACAACATAGGCCTGGTGGCAAGTGACCAAGGACGCCTGGGCGATGCACTTGCCTTGTACCAAGAGGCATTGGCGATTTGGACCAATATATTCAGTGACCCCAAACACCCCCACATCCAAATGGTCATGAGAAACATCGCACTTGTCGAAGAGCAAATCCCTTCCAGGCGCGAGAAATCTCATCCTACCCCAGCTCCAGAGCCCTCCTCCAAGATATCCAGCGACTTCATTCGCAAGAAAAAGAAGTGCCTCGTCATGTAGTATCACTCGATACCACCAGTGTTTGCAATATTGAATATTTGTCAATATACACACACACATTTTTCCAATGACTGGATTCTGGGTGACGCGCAGCAAATGGCCACACTGAGGCTGGCCATGACGCGGAATCATGAATTTCATTCATTTCTAATTTCATGGCACCTGAGTCGACAAGCCACGCTGAACGTCCGCTGTCTCTTCATGGCCGCCCTCGGCATCCGCTCCCCGCTCCCCCTCACCCCCACCAGCATTTTTCCTCAAAAAAACGAACCCATCCCGCTACCAACTAGCGCCGCCAAAATGTCTCGACGTACACGAAGCCACAGCACTCAGGCCAGACAACTCAAGTCGATGCTCAAATGCAAGTTTTTCGACGCCGACCATTTGACCATCAACCGAGAGGAGGATGGCCTCCTCAAAACGTCGGACTTCACCGAGATCAGAAGCGGACGGCTCAACGACGGTGTCATAAATACGGAGGTCGCCATCAAAATGCTTCGAAAGCCACAAGGTTCCGACCACGACCCGATTGTCGAACTTGGATGGGAAGCCGGTGTCTGGGAGCTCCTCAGCCACAAACGGATCCTCCGGCTGATCGGCGTATCGATCGGATACGACATCGCTCCTGCGATGATTTCCACTTTTCAACCCCACCTCGATTTGGAACGGTATATCGAAGGGCACCCAGAAACAGCAAAGCCAACCAAGGTCCGCTGGATGAAGGAAATTGCAGAAGGCCTCGAATATCTCCACAGCAAAAACGTCATCTACGTTGACGTCAAGCCCAACAATACCTTGGTGTCGCTGGATTTGTCGATCCTCCTCACAGACTTTGGATGCTCGTTCAAGCTCCATGGGACCAAGACCGGATATGAAGAGCTCAGTCTCGACAGGGGTCAGCAGCCATATGGTACCTATTACTATATGGCCCCTGAACGAGTGAGAGCTATCGGACCGATCCGCCCCAACAAGTCCTCAGACGTATATTCGTTTGGCATAACATGCTGCGATATACTGATCAACTGCGAAAATGTCTGGCCTCGAGAAATCGACGAACTCAAAGACATTCAAGCCATTTACGAAACTGGGGCGACTATTGAAATTCGGGAATTCAACATTCCTGGTCTCGAGGACGTTCTCGAAGGCTGCCTCCGGAAGAAAGCAAGCAAGCGTCCCAAGGCCGCCGAACTTATCCCAGAGTTCACTCGTATCTTGGAATCGTTCGAACGGACATCGCCATCGGATTCAAGCGTCTCATCGGTCAGCGTTTCGGGCGAAAATGAACAACCCGTTGAAGATCATTCGGAGTCATCAGGTATGTCCACACGCCCATTTGCCACTCGTAAATGATTCGTGACTAATATTTGTACCGCCCGCAATAGATTCCCAAAACCAGTTGACTCCGGCTGAAGCCATTGAAGCCCTCAAGGACGATGGTGTCTCTCGTTTTCTTGTCCTTTCGATGGACTTGGAAATGGAGGCTTCGGATTGGAATGAAGTGTTCACCTTCATCGCTCAAAAAATCGATGATTGTGAAGACCAATCCACCGAGCGCGATGGCTTTGTTTTCGCACTTGGCTGGCTTCACCTTCTTGGATTCGGCACACCCCAAAATTCGGAAAGGGCATTCGAGTTATGGGGTCAACTAGCCGATTCCGAAACTTCGACAAACACAGTCGGTTCGTTCAAGGACGTCGCTGTATTTTTGAAACGTTGATGCTTGGTCTGTGGACTCGGGACCGAGGTCAACTGTGACGATGCTTATCGTCTGGAGAATACCACCAACCAGCCACCACGAGGCCAAGGCAATCAACCACAAGTCGATTTATTCGGATGGTGTCAAGTCGGCTCCAGGACCCATTGGTTCAGCGATTTCATTCTGGGTCAATGCCTTCTTCTTGGAATCGGAACCACGGTCCATTTACCTATGGCCTTGCGACGTTTTGAAGCGCTGGCCGCCAAGAACCCTCAAAACAGCACCGTTCTCTGTCAGCTCGGCGAGTGCTACTACCACGGCCATGGAATCGATAAAGATTTCAAATTGGCAATGAACAAGTTCATCGAGGCCACCGAATGCGACGATCCGAGTGCCAAGGCGAAATTCTGGATCGGACAGTGCCATGAACGCGGACATGGTACTGAACAAAACTCCACTCGGGCTCGTACAATTTTTGCGTCAAGACTTGCAATGAAATATCCACCAAGCCGCGATAAGCTCACCACCACAACTCCGACGGAATCCGGCAGTAGCAACCAATCCGAAAGCAAGAGGCGGAAGGTTCGCTGAAAGTGACAAGTCAATGATCTCACCACTCAAACCCCCTGTCCCTCCAGGCGCTGTGTGTCTGTGATATTTCTGTACGTTCAAACAAATTCCTTTTCTTTCCAGTGTTATGTGTACGCCTGGAAGTTACAGGCAAACTAACAAAAACGGGACACCCAGGTTTTTTTTGACCATTGATCGAATATTTTGTTACCCAATACCATCGCGCGCTGGTCATGACCATTCGCCCACTGGGCCCTGTTCACGTGTATGGTGCCATGAGCGTGCTCATGTCTCTGCCAAATGCGCTGGATCTGGGTGACTTGTTTTCTTGCCTCATGGTAGAGCCAAGCATCCTCTCTCGAACTGCGATGATGAACACCCAACTCGACCAGCACGCTACCGCTTCCGTCTCTGACAATGCCATTGGTGCACCTGTCCTCAGGTCCTGCACTCGATGCGTGGCCAAGACCAATGTCCCCGCGCACCTCTACTTCAGCGTCAAACCCGACGGAACGTATTATAACTATTGCGACGATTGCACCGAGAAGAACAGAGTGAAGCTTGTCAGAAACCGCCAAAAGTGCCTCGAGAAGGTTGTCGAGGATCCTACCGTTGAAAAGAAGTGCTGTGGCTGTCTGGTCATCAAGCCACTTGCTCAGTTCCGAGTGGATCTGTCCAAGCCGGATAATCTCACCGATTCCTGCATTACCTGCCTTGAAAAGGGCGCCCGACACGATGCTCGTCGAATGGCCAATCCAGAGACCAGAGAGAAGCGACTGGCACTGAACCGCGAGAACCGATACGACATCGACTACAGGGAGCGTCGAATGGCAGAAGACCCAGAGGGATTCCGCCGTCACCTGGCAGATGTCCACAACGAGTGGGCTCGCAACAACAGAGACCACCTCAGACACTACCATCGCACCCACTTCAACACCTTCATTGGCGAGCGCAAGCGTCAGGCCCAGACCAAGCGCATTCCCTGGAATCTCACTGACGACCAGGCTCTGGTTATGTGCACATCTCCCTGCGTCTATTGCGGATTCCTCGATGGCGATGGAATCCTCAATGGCATCGATCGCCTGAACAACAACGGGGCGTACGACATGAGTAACACTGTCTCCTGCTGCGTGAAGTGTAATTACATGAAAATGGCCCTCGATCCCGTCACCTTTATCCGCCGTTGTGCACACCTCGTGTATACATATGGTGGTCCTGGCGAGTTTGCTGGCGACGATGCCTGGAAAAAGTATTCGGGAGTGTCCTTTGCTGCCTACAAGGCCCGGGCCGAGAAGAAGGGTCTTACCTTTGAGCTGCAGGAGCACGAGTTCAAGGCGCTCTGCCAGGGCAAGTGTGCGTATTGCGGCAAGACCAGCAGTCACGGACACCGCAACGGCGTCGACAGGAAGGACAACGAGCAGGGATATGTGCGCGGGAATGTATTGACCTGCTGCGGGGACTGCAACTACTTGAAGTGCGACTTGACCATGCAAGAGTTCTTTGATCAGCTGAACGCAGTCAACAATCTCCGACTGGAGCGGGGCATCGATCGCCGCTTTTACAGGACCCCCAAGCAGACGAACCCCATCGCCAAGCGGGAGACAGCGTGGTGAATCGGGGCTGACCTGGGTCCTGCGCAAAAAGCAGTAAAGGAAAAATCACTAGATGAGGGTAGAGCCCACCGTCTCTCTCCTGATCTGAGCCGACACGATGATCTCGACCGACGCTCAGCCCCTCCTCAGATCCTGCTCCCAATGCCGTGCCAAGACCAATGTCCCTGCGCACCTCTATTTCAGTCGCAAGGGCGATGGCAGCTATAATAGTCTTTGTGATGATTGCTGTGCCAGACAGAGACTCAAGAACGAGAGACGCAAGATCGCCACAGCCAATACCAAAGTCGATGATTCCAGTGTCTCCAAGAAGTGCACCAATTGCAAGGTGGTCAAACCTCTCGATCAATATCGGACCAAAGGAGAAAAATTGACCAACTCGTGCATCTCATGCCTCGACAAATTCGCCCGAAGCGATCAGTCCCGCGGAACCAACAAGGCCACTCGCGAGATCACCAGGCAGCAGCGCAAGCAACAAGCAGGTTCTGCTTCATCCGAGATGCCTATCGAAGAGAGGAATGCTATCCGCCTCGAATACGAGCAGGAAGTGAGGGAGCAATCGACCAGCATCCTCACCCCCGAGGAGCTCGAGGAAGTCGAGCGAAAGAGGGCCATGAACAGAGAGCGTCAGCGCCGCTACCGCGAGCGCCAAAAGGCCGGTGTGCAGGATGTCGCCGATTCTGCTTGAGAGTGAGGGTCACCCCAGCATGTAGCACCACTCCATGTACACACAACCAATGGTATCAATAAAACGATGTATTCATCACCCAAACGACTTGTCCATGGTGTGTTCTGAGAGCACACCATTCTGTGTTTGTGTGTCATTTGGCTCGTCCTGGTTTATGCCTCAACCGGGATCGATGGCTTACTTCCCCGCGTAACGCGCTCCATGCCACTCCATGAAAACCACACACCTCCAGCTCCAACAAGTCCAAACCTCAACTGCAGTGGACCGTGGAGAGGCAGCATTTAGCCTAAACTAGTTTGAATATGCCAATCCCCCAAGTCCGCTAGTAACACGCAGCACGTTATAGTTAACGGCATAGACGTACGAGCGGACAGAGGAGGTGCCGGTGGCGAGGGTCATCTGCAGGGTGGTGCCCTCGATACGCGACATGTTGATCGATCCAGAGGGCTGGTGCTCTTCGGGCTTGAGCGCGAACGAGTACAGGTAGATGCCGGTCGAGGGGATGCGGGTGTGGTGGTTGTAGGGCTGGATGAGGTTCCAGTAGGGAGCAGTGCGGGTGGTGATACGGTCGTGGGTGTTGAGCTGGATCTTGGCATCGACCAGCGGATCGTCGCCCTGCCAGAACAGCGAGGAGTTGGTGCCCGAGGTGGTAAAGTCGGTCCAGCGGTTGGCCTGGTTGAGGACATTGTCGTCCATCTGGATGACCCAGACCAGCTCCTTGCACGGGTGCGAAAAGTTGAGCTTCTGGCGGACGGCCGAGTTGTTGAAGGACTCGGCGCCCTGGAACTGCAGCTGCTCAATCAGATACTCGTGGTTCTGCTGCGACATCATGCGACGCTCGTCCTGGTCCAGGAAGATGTAGTCAATGTACAGGGTCGAGTCGACCATCGAGGGCTCGTTCTGGAGAGGGGTGTTGTCCGAGGTGATGTACAGGTTGCGGATGGGGACGAACTGGATGTTGATCTTGACCTCGTGGTAGGTCAGGGCAATCAGAGGCAGTGCCAGGCCAGGGTTGCGGTTGAACCAGAAGATCAGAGGGACGTAGATATCGGTCTGAGGGATGGTGGTGGCCTTGGTGGTGAGAACATCGGTGTTGCCGATCATGACGTTGTAGCCGTGGACCTTCTCCTCGGGCATGGTCAGCTCAGAGTAGATCGTGAGCCACTGGCCGTAGTGCTGGTCAATGATGGAACCGCCAATCTCGACGGTCATGTTGTCGATCATGACGTGGCCAATGTTGTTGGTCCAGCAGACGGTCTGCGGGCCCGATGCACCGCCGGACTGCGAGGCATTGCCGGTGAGCTGGGGCAGGGTGACCTGCAGATACGACTTGTGGATCAGATCGCCGTTGCGGGCAACCAGGCACGAGACCTTGCGGCCGAAATCAGCAGTGCCCGAGAAGGTCTGCTCCATGGACTCCATGGCAAAGTTGGTGTGGCGGCGGTAGACGGCATTGAAGAAAGTGATCTGGGGGTTGCCGGTCAGGTACATGTCCTGGGCACCAAAGGCGACAAGTTGCAACAATCCTCCTCCAGACATTTCGTGTTTCTAGATGCGTTCGTGGCTACTATATAGCCAAGAAAAAAAAATAGAATTGTATCGGCAGTACTCGCTGTGTCCACGGGGAGGGGTCTCATTCTGTCCTGTCATTTTTTCTATTCGATACCCATTGCCATGTCACATCTGCTCACCCATCATGCAATCGAGTCTATTCTGAACCGCTTTGGTCCGATCGGGGACGGCGGTATGTCGCTCAAATGCCCAACCGATCTGGTGCATTTCCAGCAGGCCTTTGTGTTCAAGAAACCCACCGTCGGCGGCAGCAACAGCGGCTGCCCTTCACCCACACCCGACGAAAGCCGATGCAGCAGCCGCACTCGGTCGTCCAGCGATTCAGCTGCAGCAACACCGGCTCTGCAGCACAACGAGCGCCTCGAGTACCTCGGCGACGGCATCCTCACCGCCACTGTCGGTGCATATCTCTTTGAGCGCTTCCCTTACGAGCAGGAGGGCTTCCTGACCAAGATGCGCACTCGCATCGTGTGCTCCTCGGCCCTGTGCCAGTTTGCGCGGTATCTGCAGCTCGCTCGCTTCATCGAGCTGCCCAACGGATACAGCTCGTCGCGCATCCAAGAAGACGCCTTTGAGGCCTTTGTCGGGGCCATCATCGCCACCTGGGGAATGGAAGAGGGGTTCCGCTATGCCCGGCGATTCATCATCAACATCATCGAGAACCTCGTCGACTTTTCATACCTGATCCAGAACAACAACAACCACAAGGACATCCTGCAGCGCTTCTTCCAGTCCCGTCGCTGGCACAATCCGAAATACGTCGAAGTCGAGTCCGAGTACTGCATGATGTTTGTGCGGCTGGTCCTAGTGGACGCCCAGTTCCGTGACCAGCTCCCGCAAAACGTCCTCTCCTACGACCAGCAGATCCGGCGAGACTTCAAGATCAATGCTCATTCCAAGCAAGTCATTGTTGGAATGGGAAAGTCTGGTAAAAAGATCACGGCCGAGCAACGGGCCTCCAAGATCGCGCTGGTCAATTTCAACATACCCAGGCACTTTTGAATCATGCATTGAGTGGGGGGAGCTCGGCACTCGTCTCGATCGTCTCCGTGATCTTGATCGTGAAGGAGTAGTCCAGGCCGTTAAAGTTCAATAAATAGCCCGTCGGGGCATACATGTAGAAATCAAAATAGTCGATACGGGCAATGGGTGTGTCTGGGATCAAGGGCGTGCTCACGAACGAATTGAAGATCACCACACCCGGGTTCTCCGTGAGCTGGATCTTGGCCAGGATATCCTTGATATTCCGGGTGGTGCGCATCTGCCCGATCTGCGGCGAGCACAGGAAGCAGTAAAACTCGCCAGCCAGATGGATGGCCGCATGGGGTTTGGTGAAGGCCGCGGGAGTGGGGTTGCCCATAAGTTAGACTGTGGATATGAATCCGGGATATTACTCACTGTGGTCTTCCAGCCCAGCGTCATACTCGAGATCCGGAACTGGCTCGCCACCAGTGTCGTCGTGCTGCTGTATTCCGAGAACCCGGTGTTGGTCTGGAACAAGAGCGTGGTCGGGTCGATCAACTGCGCCACGTCGAAGCTGGAGTTGTTGAGATCGTAGTATCCAAACCCAAGCGACGGCGTGATGTCATAGAGTGTAAAGTTTGTATTGTACTGAAAGTTGCATGTCGTGCCTGGCTGCTGCAGTGGCTGCTTGATATCGATCGTCACAATGTCGTTTGCCGGCACCGCAACCACCGACATAACCATCATGATTGCCGGTGTTAGTGTCGAGAGACGGCACGCAATCGCTGTTGTAGATATACACAGTCTGCCCCACCGTAAACGAGTGGTCGATGATGGTCTGGATGGATACCAGATTCCCCCCGGCAGAGTAGATGCGGATGCCCTGCTGGAATCCATGGGCCACATTGCTCATCGTCAGATACTGCGTGCCCACATAGGGAAACCCCTGGAAGGTCAACCCCGAGTCAAAATACGAGATGTAGGCACTCACTGTAAAGTTGTATCGGTCAATGACCTCTGTCACCTGGAACTGGCCGTTTGGGTTCTGCAGAGTGTAGAGTGGAGGGCGTGTCCACACACCATTCAGAACCACATAATCACCGCGCTGGAGCACAAAGGGCTGCGCCGTCACCACCTGCATGCCATTCGGCAGTGGGATCACATTCACGATGCCATAGGTGTTTGCATTCAATTGACCGTCGGTGGATGGAGTGCTGGTGTCCCACTGTGCGAAACCCAGATTGGCGGTGATCATCAGGTTCTGTGATCCAAAGAGCATCTTCATTGGGGCACCCTTGCCCGTCTTGACCTGGCTGCCCCCACCAGATGAGTTTGAGATGGCCACTGCATTGAGAGAGACCTGGAATGTGTCTGGACCCGTCACATTGATGGAGGTAAATGCCCCGGTGAAAACAGAGGAATCCAGACCGCCAATATATCCGCTCACATCCAGCACCCATGCTGTCTGCCCACTGGTGTATCCATGAGCCGGGCTGACGACCGTGGCAATGTTGGAACCCGCAACGACAGTGATGGGGTTGGTGCCACACATATTGGTGATGAGCGACGTGATGTTCACAATTCCGGTTGCCGCATCGATTGTGGTCAAAGCGTAGTGCATCAGCACCGCACCGGTGCCGTCCTGGCGAGGGATGCTGGAAAAGAGGTTCTGGATGACCGTCTGTAGCTGGCTGGTCGTGTATGATCCCGTGGGGATCGTTATTTGATACATTTGAGGGATGCCACCAAAGGTCAGATCACCTTGGTCGTACCACGAGATTGTGTTGTTTGTGGGATTGATCACGGCATCGACATTAGGAATCTCGGTGCTGATCAACTCGACTTTTGTGACGTTCGAGAACACTCTCCCGAGACCCATCCGGAACGAGTTGGCTTGCGGGTATGTGAGCATATCGCGGTCACGGCTGTCCACGCAGACGACCGTTACGACATTTTCCGACTTGGTGACCTGGGTAGGAGCTGGATTGGGGACAATCGCTGGCACTGTCGTTTGCTGCTGTTTCTGCTGCTCCTGCTCGTCCTCGACCAGATGCTCATAATACTGGGTGAACCGACTCACATCCCGCGCGGTGAACAAGGAATTCAGTTCGTCGATGGATGGTATTTTATTCACATACTGCCCTCCTCGAGGCACATTCATAATGTCATACAATGGTCTCTGCATGACGCTCGACAGATCCTAATGCTATACAGTCAAATATTTGCTCCAAATATCGATGCGCTACAACGTACACATGCCACTCGAATAATACCCTGGGACACTGGGGGGTTGCTGTGGTTGGGGTGCTGATGGAATGACGATCATGTATTGGGGCTGCGGCGCTTGGTTTGGTGACATTTGGTACTGCCACATCGGGCATGGGAAGGAAGGTGCTGTGGGTATTTCATATTGGTATGGAGTGGTGGTGTAAGTAACATACCCACTAGCTGGTGCAATCTGTGGCTGGAAAATCGAATAATATGCTGGATATGGGAAGCTTGCTGGAGCGGGCTTGGGTTGGCGGTGATGGTGATGTGTCTTTCGCTTGTTCTTCGACCCATGAGGAGCTGGTGTGGCATGGAGCGTCCAGAAATCAAACATATAGCTGAGGTATTCAAATGGAAGGTGGAAGTACCCCTTGTCGCCCCAGCTTTCTCCCCACGAATTGAGCATGATGAAGTGGTCGGATGTGTACCCACAAATCACGACTGCATGTCCACCTTGGACCTGTTCATTTGCTCCAGGAAGGGGCACCATCCCAGTCTGGGCCACCTGGGGTGTCAAGAAGGACCCAAATACCTCCATTCCCGCTTGAATGACGTGACCAGATGACAGACATGATTTGATATGATCGAGATCCAGTGGTACTGGGATATATTGGAGACGTGCAGTGATGTAATGTTCCGCCGCTCCCTCGCAGTGAGATGGAGGCTCGATATTGACGCTGGTTGGATCGTATGGCCACATCGTCTCAGGACATGCACCCAAATCGGCCAGTGTTTCGCATGTCGCCATACTCGTGCATCCATTGTCGCTGAGGGGAGGTGTCTGTCCCAGTGTCAGTCGGGCGTGGTAATACAGAAACAGGCGACTGATCTCGATGGGCGAACGATTCTTCTCGCTGACCGGGGAAAACCGGAGCGTGTGTGCAGCAGCATTTGCTGTACACGACGAAACCTTTCCCTGGTCAAGAATGGGGCCCTGGAAGAACGGCCTCAAATCAGCTGTATCAGCGATTTTTGCGCTCGATTCACCCAACGAATAGTGGGTGTACTGTTGGCGCTTCACGGGGTCGTCTCGCTTGTGGTTCAGCACTCGATCGATTGCTAAAGAATCCATGAGAAGGTGTTTGTGCACTTTCTTGGGAATCACCAACAAAATTTTATATTTTCATGTCGCTCTCCATGGCGATGATGATTTTGAACAGCGCCATGGGTTTTGAAATATTGGAGACAAATCAACTCAACATGTGAAAAGTATACTCATTTAGGGAGCCTTGGCAATGAAAGGAATGGGAATAGGAGGGACGACGGGAAGAGAGGCCGGGGCGGGAACATAGCTGGCACCACCCCAGGAAGCGACAGCAGAGGCGGGCGCCTGGTAAGCAACAGGCGCCGGAGCAACGAACGAGGCAGGGGCAGGGGCAGGGGCCTGGTAGGCGACGGGCGCAGGGACGACGTACGCATACGAAACCGGCGCGGGAGCCGAAGCCGGAGCGGCATAAGGGTTGGCAAAATAAGGGTAGGCAGACATGGTTTTTTGAACAAATGAATTTGCTAGCCATAGCCTACATTTTTTTTCATCGGATTTTTGGTGTGCAACTAGGTGATGCACATTTCTCACGAGAGCTCCCTGTTGTCAGTCAGATCAACCCCCAAGTTCAATTGAGGAATGCTACTTTTTTTTCGTGTCATACATACAACTGCATCACATGAGTCGACAGGATTTATCCACCACAGACGATCTATCGTCATCTGGAAATGTGTACAACGTGTTGAATAACTACGCTACACAGGCACGATTCATTGCAATGCAGGGGCCTGATCCTGAGAAAATCAAGAAGTTCACACAGACTACATCATCTCTCGCCAGGCAATTCAAAGAAAACGAGTACTCTCTCAGCACCAGAGTCGCTTCAGAGGCGTTTAAGCTCCACTTCCCATCCATCAAGATGCCTCACCGACTCGTTAACTTTTCCAAGTTCATCCGATTCAGTGACTACGCAATCTTTTACAAAATGTATGCCCCCATAGTCAAGCTAGATAATGGATCTCACGCGGTATACTGGCTAAGGCTTCCGGAAACATACAATACGTCCCTGGGTAGACCATATAAGGTTTATGGTACAGTCAAACCAGAAAGAAACGGGACAGTCACTTCCTGGCATCAGCGACACAGGTCTGCTGATCCGTAGACCCCAGTGGGCAGGTCGTGCGATTGTTTCCCGTCCTGGTTGGCAATCACTTTGTTTTGGGTGGGTCCGGAAGCACAGTCTTGAATACACCCGGTCGATCTCCTGTGGCGATGATCGACTGGCATACCGAGATCATGTTCCTGGCTGCATTGATGTCTCGATCCCACAGCGTATGGCAGCTTGCACAGCTCCGGACAAAGTGTGGTTTCTCGATATCAAGATGCTCGACCTTCTCGAGTCGCTTGGCTTCCCGACAGTGTGAGCACACCTGGGATGTGTTGAACTCGTTCACCGAGCACACATGGATCTTGGAGACGGATGGGTCTGGTGGGCGTCTCTGGTGATGGTGGAATTGCTCAAAGTACTTGGCAAACCTGAGTCTCCTGGGACTGGAGGCATATCCCTTCCCCTGTTTCCAGGATGCATTCCCAAAGGCAATCACCACTTCGGTCTCCCTTGCTGCCTGGTCGATGACTCGCTTGCACATCTCGTGGACGGTGCGCTGTCGCTTGCTGTGGAGATCGAGTCGCTTGAATCGCCGTCGCCGGGTCAGGTTGAAGTACAGCTGTTTGTCCAGCATGTCTCCATCGAACACATGGCGAATGTATCGCAGGAAGGGGGCCACCCCGGGGATCTTGGGACTTGGTGTGGTGCTCATCCATTCCTGCAGATCAAGGGCCTTGTGGGTGCTCTGGATCCACTTGGTCGCCTGACTGGTGCCAGTTCGATGCTGGTACTCCTTGTTGGAGAACGACACGATCTTCTCGTTGGCGCGCTGTGCCTTGGTCACCTTGACACCGTCTTGCTCCTGGATGGATGGTTGACCGGGTGCTCGATTGACAGCGGTGAAGATCGATCCCACTCCAGGGTCGATCCCGATCCATGTGGTCCGAGAGTCGTCAATGGGACCGACCCTGGTCTGGATCTTCTGCTCGGGAGTGAGTGTGTTCACCTTGGTCTTGGGTACCGGCTTGGCATCGGGGCCCTTCTTCTCCAGGATCTTATATCTGAGTGTGGTGATCGAGCACCCGATGTTAGGGATAGCTCCTGCCTGTTCCCCACTTTGACTGCACACTTGGCTGTTCTTTTGCCTTTCTGTTTGTTTGTGTGTAGCTTTGCAGTTCCCCTCCGATTTTCCGCCTTTTGCCTGTCTTTTCCGCTCCTTCCGCACTTCCGTTTTCCCGCGCTGCTCCGCTTCCTTTGTCTTCTTCGCACGCGCCGGTTTGTTTGTGCACGCGCTTCGCTACGATTGGTTACAATTCGGCTGCCGGTCATGTGTCCCCCCACCGGTGACTCATGACCTGCCGGACCGCCCCGATCTCTTGTTCATCTCGCACGCATTTGCCCCAACCTTATACTTGACCAATCCGCTTCTTGGATGTTGAGTCACATTGCTTCGCCTTTGCACGTTTCTCCTGCCTGGTGCTTCGCTTTTGCTTGCGCCTCTCTCGCTTTGGTTCTCTGCCTGTCTCGGTGGTCCTTCTCGGCCCTCGTTCGTGCATCGCCCCCTTCGCCCTGCTCGATCGCCCACTTTTCCCTCCCTTGGCCGCCCTTCGCTGCCAAGTCCGGACTTGTCTATAAATAGCCTGACCCCCGCGATGTGTAGTCGAACCTCAGCGTTCAAAATAGGACTAAATAAAGTGCCTTCTACTTTATTCTCTGAGTGTTCCTCACGTCTCATTTCGAGACTAGTCTTATCTTGAACGGATCTTTGTTTCCTCGCTCCCTCTCCGAGTCCACTTCGGGCTTTACCCTTGCTTTCCCTGAGCTCACTTCGAGCTCACCTCTTCTTTTGCCGTTGAGTCCCCCTCGGACTCTAACATCATTTTGAACGCTCCCTCTTGGCTTCCCGGCCTTTCTTCTTCTTTCGCCTCTCTTTCCCTCGTCGATCCGATGGCTGAGCCTGCTGCACCCCCTGCAGACCTCAACGCGTATCTGGCGCGCATGGAGGAGCGTATGAACGCCCTCATGACCCAGAACGCTGCTCTCCATCGTCAGATCCAGGACCTGCAAGCTCCCGCCGCCGCTCCCCGCCAGGTCTACCAGGTGAACAAGCCCAAGGAGTTCCTAGGTTCCCGTGACGAAACGACGGCCTTCCTCGCCCAGTGCCACCTGGTCTTCCTCGCCGATCCCGCCTTCTTTGCGCCCGAGCGCCAGAAGGTCCTTTACGCCACCTCCTTCCTCCGCGGCGAAGCCTTCAAGTGGTACGAGGCCGCCTTCTACATGGCCAACCGTTTCCCTGCTTCCTTCGCCGACTTCGAAGTTGCCCTGAAGTCGACCTTCGGTGAGGACACAGCCTCCTCGCAAGACAAGGCCCTCAACGACCTCAAACGCTTGGTCCAGCTCAAGTCCTGCCAAGCCTTTGCCACTCGCTTTGTCCAGCTCGCCGCCCGAGTCCAGACCGATGAACCCACGAAGATGCACTTCTTCAAGGAGGGTCTGAAGTCGGAAGTCAAGTTCCACCTGATCGGTCTCCGCCCCGCTCCCGCTTCCTTGCCTGAGTTGATCAAGGCAGCGGTCGAGTACGACGATGCCCTCCATCGTCTCAAGATCTCCTCCCGTTCCCAACCTCCTCCTCCTTCTTCTCGCTCTGCTCCCCATCACCACCATTCTCCCGCGCATGTTTCTTCTTCCTCCTCTTCTGCACCCACTCCCATGGACCTTGACTCTGTCTCGGTCCGCCCTGCTAAGCTCTCTGACGTCGAGAAAAAGCGACGTCGTGAGCAGGGTCTCTGCTTGTACTGCGGGGAAAAGTCTTGTCCCGGCAGTCGCGATGTTCAGCAGTGCCCGGTTCTGGTCAAACGGAACTCGGGAAATGCCCACAGCCGAGCAGCACCTCGCAAGTAAGCGAGGTGGTCTGTTCGGCGATACGAACATCTTCCCCCTCTGACTCGTCACTATCGGACGATAAGCTTCTTCTTCCGGCCACCCTTATCGTCATGAGTCTTTCTGGCCCGGTCTCCATCTCCCTTTCTGTCTTTATTGATGATGGATGCACCGCTCTTGCCCTCATTGATCCTGCCTTTGCGGATCTCCATAAACTCTCTCTTATCCCTCTTTCTACTCCTTACTCCGTTTCCCTTGCTGATGGCTCTTCGGCCGGTTTCATTCGTTTCCAAACCGTGCCTTTGACTCTGACCATTGGTTCCCACACCGAGTCGATTTCTTTTCTTGTGACTCGACTCTCCACCACTCCCATCACTCTTGGTCTTCCCTGGATGCGCTTGCATAATCCAGTTGTCAATTGGAAGTCCCTCTCCCTTTCATTCTCCGATCCCTCTTGCCTTGCTGATGGACACATCCTCGCGGATGTCTCTGCTTCTTCCTTGGACACTTCGTCCACTTCCGGCTCCTCGCCTCCCCCTTCGGGCACTTCGCCTTTGACTCCTCCCTCCGGTCCATTCCCTTACACCGGTTCCCTCCTTTGGCACTTCGCCTTCCCTTTCTTCCCGCCTTGACTCTGCTTCGCTTTCTGAAGAGCCAACGGCCTTCATCTTCACCCGACATTGAGCTCGTTAATGCGGCGAGTCTTCTCCGTCTTGCACGGGAAGACAAGCTCGACATTTTCGCTGCCCAAATGGATATCCGTCCTCCTTCGCCGGAGACGTATCCTACGGTGTCGATAAGGTCCGTGCTCACGACGAAGGTGTATGCCGAGTCTGGCACCCCCGTTGACTCTCGAGGTGTCCCACTCAAATACAATGAGTTTGGCGACGTTTTCAGCCTCAAGTCTGACCCTCCTTCTTCCTTGCCTCCTCATCGTCCGTATGACTTGTCTATTGAGTTTGTACGGACCGAGGATGGAAAG